ATCCCATCTCCATCTCCACTTTTGCTCGTTGTGACTCCGGCCATTTACCTAACAACCCAAGGTCACTCATGGCCAGCAATGGTTTTCAGTTTTAGTTCATGCCACCTGACTGTCTTTGATCTAGTCGAACCTCATGCCCATTTTCCCCAAAAAGTTGGGAAATAACCTATTATTGCTACATCATCGGGTGTTCCCCACTGTTTGTGACATTGTCCTCTTTTTGTGCAATCCGCACCCCCACAAATCCCTTAGTCATGCTCCACTCTGACTGTAAAACTATGATCATGCCAGACGGTATGCCACCCACAAGTTGGGAATAAACATTATTATTATTATTATCTCCTGTCAGACCGCGCCAAAGCACCCAAGAATCCAGGAAGGCGAAAGCTTGCCACGAATTTTTGATCAGCAGCAAATTTGGTCATCAAAAAGGGAGAGCTAAAAAGGCTACAGACATCAACGGTCAAAATTTTCGCCCACGGGAAAAAACTCCGTCCCCCAAAGCCAAAAGGCCCGTGCAAACCGGGCTCCCACGGAACGAAAAAACCTCGCAAGCGAAAAGCATTCCTAGAAAGTATGAAGACAGGAAGCAGACAACATCGCTCCAGAGGCCCCGTTGGAGCCTTGGACTCAAACCCGGCGCACAACTATTATGTTTGCCAACCACGCTGGTTACTCAACTTTCGGCTCCTCACCCTCGGAGGCAGCAAAGACAGTGCTGAAATGCTGTCCACAAACTGCCTCAGCATTTTCAACAGACTCGGATGTGTTGAACAGTCAGCTTGCCTTAAAAAACCGTCCATAATCGCACTCCCAGTGACCTGGCTCACACCAGATGTCCCTGACGCGGAGATCTCGATAGACGGTTACTCTATTTTTCGAGCTGACTCAAAACGAGGGAGGGCTGGTGTGGTTGCTCTGTACACACATGCGGCCCTACCAATCTCGACTGTCCTCTCTGACACCACCACTGCGCCATTTTGCGATGCACTGTGGGTCGAAATCCCGCTGAGCGCGTCCGATACTCGCCTTCTCGGTGCGGTCTACCGTAGCCATTCGAGTCCCCCTGAAGATGACCAGTTCCTCATACAAACCCCTGAGCAACTCTACCCCAACTACAACTTCACTCATCTCCTGCTGGTAGGTGAATTCAACGCACCAAAGGCCTCCTGGATTGAGATCCAGCGCGTCGAATCAGGCGCATCTTTTGCAGTGGCGCTGTTTTTTCACGGATTCACCGATTGATACACAGGATCGAGGCTTTTGCCCAAGTTTCTCGGGTCGGTTTTGTTCTTGTCGGTCAGTGGCTGTCGTTCACTTGAAAGGCACAAGTGAAAAAGGGTGTAGCATTGCTCTTAATTTTCTCAGCGCGGGGCAGTACGCTTGCCAGCGCGAGGAGTCGCATAAATAAATGTCTAATAGGGCTTTAAATTGGGTTCGAGAAGGAGCGTGTACAACCGCCGGAGGAAGGTCATTCCACGCAGCTACTACCCGAAATGAAAAAAAGTTTTGTCTAACGGATGTGTGTGCCCTGAGCTTGAAGATTTTCTTACTATGTCCCCGCCGGGTGTTTGCTGGGTCAACGGTAAAAAACCTGTTTGCCAAGCTTTGTTCAAACAGGGCGTAGGTAAGAATTAGGTCCCCTCGGAGGCGACGGTACTCCAGGGGAAAGAGATCAAGCGTCGCGAGACGCGTTTCGTAGTCCACGGACTTGAGGCCGGCAACCATTCTCGTGGCGGCCCGCTGGACACGCTCAATGAGGGTAACGTCTTTCGTACGTCCTGAGTAGACAACTTGGTTGGCGTACTCCAGGAGCGGTCTGACGTAGGCCCCATAGAGTATTTGGAAGTCCATGCGAGTAATACGGGAGAAGGTACGTCGGATCATCCGTAAAACGGCGAATGCCTTTTGGGCCGATTTCTCATGGTGTAGTGCGAAGGACAAGTTTGAGGAGACCCAGATGCCTAAATCTTTTTTGGCATCTATCCTCATGATGTTTTCTGGTCCCTTTTCACCATGCATAACAAAGGCATTCGCTGAATCCCCTCCAAACGACACATGGACGCACTTTTCATCATTCAGAGGAAGGTGCCAGTCCAACGACCACTGCTTGGCAGCGTCTACATCCATTTGGAGGGCGCTGGCATTGGAACTCCAGGATTTCAAGTCGTCCGCAAAAAGTAAACATGGACTCGCAAGAACGTCTGGGAGGTCGTTGCGGTAGATCAGAAACAGGAGTGGTCCCAAGACGGAGCCTTGAGGAACTCCAATGGAGACCGGCGCTGGAGAGGAATAGGTTGGCCTATTCTCC